TGCATGAAAATGCATCAGGCTCTGCACCACCAGAAACCTTTGCAGCTCAGATAGTGTGAGGAAATACACCAGGCTCTGCTCCCCAAAAAGAGCTGCGCACCTCAAATTCTCTATGGAAACACATAAGGCTCTGCTTGCCGAAAACACTTTACAATCCCACATCTTGCAATGAAACACACCAGGCTCTGCTCCCCCGAAAGGGGCTGTGCACCCCAAATCCTGCATGAAAATACATCAAGCTCTGCTCCCCAAAAAGGGGCTGGGTACCTCAAATTCTGTATGAAAACATATCAGGCTCTGCTCCCCCGAAAGGGGCTGTGCACCCCAAATCCTGCATGAAAATACATCAAGCTCTGCTCCCCAAAAAGAGGCTTTGCAACTCAAATCCTGTAAGGAAACACATCAGGCTCTGCTCGCCAAAAAGAGGCTTTGCACCCCAAATCCTGCATGAAAATACATCAAGCTCTGCTCCCCAAAAAGAGGCTTTGCACCCCCAAATCCTGTAAGGAAACACATCAGACTCTGCACCTTAAAAAGGGGTTTACACACCCATATCTTAAAAGGCAACTCATTGAGCTCTGCTCCCCAAAAAGGGGTTTTGCACCCCCAAATCTTGCAAGGAAATGCAGAAGGCTCTGACCCTCAAAAGGGGGTTTGCACCCCAAATGCATCAGGCTCTGCAACACCATAAGCTTTAGCACCCCAAATCCTGTAAGGAAACACATCAGACTCCGCACATCAATAGGCCTTTGCACCTCAAATCTTGTAAAGAAATGGACCAGGCTCTGCAACCTCAAAAAGTGGGTTTGCACCCCAAATTCTGCGAGGAAACACATCAGGCTCTGCTCCTCAAAAAAGGGTTCACACCCCAAATCCTGCCAGGAACTGCAGCAGGCTCTGATCACCCAAAACGGGCTGTGCACCTCAAATTCTGTATGAAAACATATCAGGCTCTGCTCCCCAAAAAGGGGCTATGCACCTCAAATTCTGTAAGGAAACATATCAGGCTCTGCTCCCCAAAAAGACTTTACAACCCCACATCTTGCAATGAAACACACCAGGCTCTGCTCCCCAAAAAGGGGCTGTGCACCCCAAATCCTGCATGAAAATGCATCAGGCTCTGCTCCCACGAAAGGGGCTGTGCACCCCAAATCCTGCATGAAAATGCATCAGGCTCTGCACCCCAACAGGCCTTTGCACTCCAAATCTTGCAAGGGAATGGATCAGGCTCTGCACCCCAAAAAGGAGCTTTGCACCCCACATCTTGCAAGGAAACATATCAGACTCTGCTCCCCAAAAAGGAGCTTTGCACCCCCACATCTTGCAAGCAAAACCACTGGACTCTGCCCCCAAGACAGGCTCTGCACCCCCAAACAAAATCCCCTGGGACCTACCCCAAAAAAGGGCTGTGCACCCCAAATCTTGCAGGGAAATGCATCAGGCTCTGCACCCTGAAAAGGATTTGCACTTCAAATCCTGCAAGGAAATGTATAAACCTCTGCCCCCAAAAAGTGCTTTGCCCCCTTTTCTCCCCACTTCTTACCCTTTCACACAAGGTGAGCTCACAGCTCCTGCCTGGACATCTGCTGTTAGTGAATTCTGAGCCAATAATGAGGTGCAGACCCAATAACACCCCCAGGTCAGACCCCCACAGCCAAACCTCAGCTTCTGGGGGGCTCCAGCTGCTGCCAATCCACTGCCAGAATGATCCAAGCCCTGGGAAAGAGCTGTTCCTTCCCACCCCTGAACACTCCACTGAAGCCAAAACCCTGATGCTGTGCCCATCCCAAAACAAAGGGGTTTTGGTTTCTTGCACAGGAAGGAAGATAAAGGCAATATTTTTTTTGGATGTGCCTCAGGTGGAGCCTGAAGGCAAAGGTGAAGTGGATTTTGCCATCAGAACAGGAAAAGCTCAGGCAGGGCAGGAAAGGGCTTTGATTCCTCACACAGTGCTGTGTTTACATCAGAATATTCATGGGAATCATAGCATGTTAACGGGTTGGAATGGAGTTTAGAGATGATCCAGCCCCAACCTCCTGCCCTGGGCAGGGACATCTCCCACCAGAGCAGGTTGCTCAAGGCTTTAGCCAACCTGGCTGTGAACACTGCCAGGGTTGGGGCAGCCACAGCCTCCCTGGGCAACCTGGGCTGGTGTCTCACCACCCTCACAGGGAAAACATATTCCTGATATCTAAATTTCCCTCTTTCAATTTATCCCCATCACTCCTTGTCCTGTCCCTGCAGTTCCTAACAGAGTCCCTTTGCAGCTTCCCTGGAGCCCCTTCAGCTCCTGGCAGGTTGCTCTGAGGTCTCCACACAACCTTCTCTTCTCCAGGCTGAACAGCCCCAACTCTCAGCCTGTCCTCATAGGGGAGATGCTCCAGTGCTCTTATATCAACTTTGTGGCCTCCTCTGGACTTGCTCCAACAGTTCCATGTCCTTCTGATGTTGGGAACACAGAACTGTGTGCAGTATTCCAGGTGGATCTCACCAGAGGGGGAGAATCACCTCCTTGGGCACAGCAAGCAGGCCTAGATTTCAATAAGAAAAGGCAAAACCAGTTCATTTTGTCCAAAAAATCCCATGTTAAGAAAAAAGGAGTGGGAGAGGAGGGGGTGGGAATCACAGCTCTTTTTATTCCAGCTGTTGATGACACCTCCTTGGATTTAAGCAGGGAAATGAGATTATGGAGCACAAGGGTGGAGTAACTACACAGTTATCATTATAATGGCACTGACAGCACAACCCTGGGGGCTCCTCCATCCCAGGAGCTGTGTGCAGGACTGGCACTGACCCAGCCTTAACCTGAGACACAGAAAACAGGGATAATTCAGGGAATGGAAGAGCCTGACACCCAGATTTTAAGAGGGAAGTCTCTGACCTACATATCTGTCTCTCTTGGGAATGAAATCGTTGGCTCCAGGAAAATGGCACTGACAGCACAACCCTGGGGGCTCCTCCATCCCAGGAGCTGTGTGCAGGACTGGCACTGACCCAGCCTTAACCTGAGACACAGAAAACAGGGATAATTCAGGGAATGGAAGAGCCTGACACCCAGATTTTAAGAGGGAAGTCTCTGACCTACATATCTGTCTCTCTTGGGAATGAAATCGTTGGCTCCAGGAAAAGAAAGAACCATTTCTGCAGATGGAAGAAAGTAGACCCAGCCTTAACCTGAGACACAGAAAACAGGGATAATTCAGGGAATGGAAGAGCCTGACACCCAGATTTTAAGAGGGAAGTCTCTGACCTACATATCTGTCTCTCTTGGGAATGAAATCGTTGGCTCCAGGAAAAGAAAGAACCATTTCTGCAGATGAAAATAAAGAGAGCAGCATCAGTTTGGCTTCTGAAGACAGCTCTGAGGTTCCTTTACAGCAGGATAAATACATGGGGGGAAAAAAAAAAAAAGGGCAATTTTTGGGATGAGCCTTTCCAGGACTGTATAGAGCTTTTTATGTCACCTCAATCCTCATTTGCTGCCTGCTGGCAGCATCCTGGTGACCATTCCCCATCTCACAGGCAGCATGATGACATTTCCATTAGTTTTTACTACATTTAGACCAAAAATAATGAATAAAAAAAATATATCAATAAAACTAATACTAAAACCCAACCAATTAAATAGCAAACCTGAAGCTCTTCCTTCCTCTCACCCTCCAGGTGCACAAAAAGCACCAAACCTACCACAAACTTCCCAAGTTTGAGGAAACTGGAGGTAAAAATACACTTGTAATAGAGCAAAGTTTCAAGCCTAATGAATCCCCTTTCATTAGGACTTGAGATACAACTAAGCACCCCAGCAGGGAGGTGACAAGACACCTCATTCCTAGTGGCATTGCCACTGGTGTTTGGTGACCAGTGAGGACCTGTGAGCTCCAGATCCTCACTCTGCTCCTCACTGAGGAGCCCACAGGGTTTCACAATCAAGATTCCTCCAGCATTCCCTTTTCCCAGCCAATTCCATTGTTTTCAAACTCTCACAGGTGACCCAAATCACAACCCAGAGATATTTGGGATTCTACCACAATATAGTTCAGTATCATTAATAAATTACAACTCTGAGTTGTTCTTTACAGTCTTTATTGGACGTGCAAACCTGTGCAGAAAAAAAGAATTCCATGCTGGAACCTTTTCTGGCTACACCAAGGTGTAAATCACCCCCAGATGAAGGATGTTTGGGTGTTCCAGGTCCTGCCAGGGAGCAGCATTATGCAGCTGTTGCCTTCTGTTTGTATGTTGCCATCATCTTCTTGATCTCAGCAATGGCTTTCCCAGGGTTCAGACCCTGAAAGGGAAGGGTTTGTTAGTTCTTCTGGAAAAAATAGAGCATCCTTCATCCCTCCCTTCCCCTGATCCAAGCTGTAAACTCAAATGTGCAGCTACTCATGAACAGTTGGCAGAGGAGGTGCTCAGCACCCCTTTCATCCCTAACAGCTGGAGCCCAGCCTGATACTAAGCTTAGTTTCCAAAGCTGGGAGGTTCCAGGAGCCCAAGGGACAGCTCTGCCACCCTGCCCTGGGCAGAGGGGCATCACAGTGTGGTTAAGCTGTGCCCATGCAGCTTTGCTCCACTCCAGCCTGAATTTACATGGGAAGAGCAAACCAGGCTGGAGTGGAGACGCAGAGCTGGGAGCTCTCTTCCTCTACCTGGAGGCTGGACCAGCAGCACTTCCCTGGGCCTGAAGGAAAACGCTCCTTTGGCTTTGGAAGTTGGGATTAATCAGCAACGCCAGGATCAAAGGGAAGGAGGAGCGATAGGGACTTTAATAAAGCACAAGTAGGACTGAAATCACCATTTTTATGGGTGTTTTAACTTCTGGAGGCAGGACACAGCCTTGGAAAAGCCTGAGAGTGGTGGCACAAGGGATGTGGATTTCTCCTCCTTGTCTGGAACAATTAAAGTTGTGTGTTGGGGCAGTGAGAAAGGTCAAGTCACAAGGTGGAAATGCTCCTCAAAGCCAACTGAGTTCCCTTGGGTTCTCCTACAACACACACATTACCTTGCAAAGGCCTTAATCCTGCAGCAGTGCTGCCAATCCAAGCATGCCTAATCTCAAAATGAAAGTGGGATCATGACAGCTCAGCTCCATCACTGTGATCACAGTGGGATAGGAAATGAGCAGGAACTCACCCTGGTGCAGAGCTCTCCCTGCAGCCTTTCCAGGCTGATTAAACCAGCCAGGATTAGAGCATGTGAGTGGGAATGTGTTATGAACCATAAACGTGTCTC